TCTCTCTCTCTCTCTCTCTCTCTCTCTCTCTCTCATTCTTTCTCTCTCTCTCTCTCTCTCTCTCTCTCTCTCTCTCTCTCTCTCTCTCTCTCTCTCTCTCTCTCTCTTGCGGATGTCGGGATCCCGATCTCCTGTGTTTGCACTGGGGTATGTTTGGTGGTATGCATCATGGATGGATTTGTCGAATGTTTGTGAACTTCGGGGAGATGATGGGAGTGCTGTTTATTTGGCTTGGCTATCCAAACAGACAATGAACGACCTCAAGTTGTACTACTTGACTTATTTCTCTCTTGTTGCACTTGTCATAGTTTTCGGCGGAATCTTCGCTCCGATGGTATGTATGTATGTATGTCAACTTCCCCTTGAGCTTGCGCGAGCCTGCAGTTGTGACCATCCCCCTGCCGGTGCCTCCTCTGTTCACACCATTCTCCAGCATTGCAAGCCGGACTTCCTGTCCTCTGCAATCGGTGGTGGTCTGTTCGCCTACCGCCCCCCCTCCCCCCTCCATCTTCTGTTCTCTTGCCCTCTTCCCTCTGTATTCTGGCCTTGTGGTCCCCACTCTATCGTCTGCTGTATCTCTCCACCCTCCCAACTCCTCCCCTGCCCACCCCCTCTTCCCCACCCCTTGCCTCTCTCCCCCTTACCCCACTACTTGCCGCTGCCCTCACTCCTCTCCCTCTTATCCCACTCCTCTCCGCTGCACCTCCACCCACCTCTCTCTCTCTCCCAAATTCGCAGTTCCGAGCTTGCAGACCGCTTCCATCTGCAGATGGAAGGGGTCTTTTGACCCCTGGCTCCGTTGTATGTACGACTCTTCCTAACACTATGTGCTCTCCTAGCTCCCGCACGAAGGATGTTTGATACGTGCCTTACATTTGATTGTTCTTTGTCCCACCTCCCAAAAAAACAAAAGAACCGCAGCTCTCATTGGGGCCCGGTGCCCAAGGCTATGTGCACTTGGGAAAAGAAAGAAGGACCAGACAGCTTGTCTTGCCCACACAGGGGCGCAGAGCCCCGCACTATTTGATTGTGCTTTTTTTTCCCCCCCACTGTTCTTCTGGTGCCCTGGCTGTATCGCTCCTTACCGTACCCTTTGCTCCAGGCTCAAAAAAAAAAAAAAAAAAAAAAAAACCTCAATGCTTTCATTTGTGAATGCAGTTGGCACTTCAGCTTGTTCGGTTTTTCATCGAGGGTTCCGGCTGGGTGACCATGGCTGCCTCTGGCTGCACAGGACCCTGAACAGGCAGCCAGGTTAGGCCAAGGTGCTGGGCAACCCTTTGCAAAAGAAAGCAACAATTAAAAATTTATATATTCACAGGTACCTTGAGGGCAGTGGTTGGTGCCCACCTCAGGGTATCAGTTGCTGGGGCAGCCGTTGATGCCTAAACCACCAGTACTTGGCCCAGCTATCGGCCGCGGGAAAAAATAGAGTAGAAACGTTTCTAGTCGGATGAATTTGGGCGCTCCTGTAGTAGCTCGTAGTACGTTTCCTAAAATCGTGGCGCGTTAACGGGCACGACTCGAGGAAGTACTGATGGTTTAACCACAAACGGGGTTATGGTGGATTATCGCTTACAGTGTAATCAGTACGGGGATTCTGCAGACTGTTGAGGGTTCAGCCTCCTGATGAGTCAGTCGGTGAAACTCCGACGCAACAGTTTGTCACAGCCCCTCATTTGTTGCCCTCTTCTGCCTCTCTGCCTACGGTTCACCGGGAAGCTCTGTTTGACGACATATTGTGTAGAATTGCAAGGTGGTAAACCATACTTGCAAGCGGACGCCGTCCAGGCAGTTCCGCACGTGCGGCAGACCGCCGGACCGGACCCGCGCGGCGCACGAATGTGCGCCTGACGACCAGTTACGCCCCACCCCCCCCCCAAAAAAAAAAAATCGCCCACGTCCGGTCCGGTCCAGGTCCGTCCGGTCTGGGGGGAGGGTGCCGCACGCGGCAAAGCGGACCGGACCGGACGCCCGTCCGGTCCGTCTGCTTGCAAGTCTGTGGTAAACGCTGGACAAGAGTCGCTTCAAGTTTCTGTCTGAAAAGTTCCAAGCAACCGCACCTGTGTGCCGTACTGTCCGGTGTGCCGAACGCGCGGCACCTGCTCGTGTGCCGTACCACCGAGTTGCCCTTTTTTTAATTTGTTTTTGATTTTTTTTTTGCTGTTTTTGTAGATACAGAAGAGTGCAACACCTAAGGAACTGATCTTTTTGAGTTCAGTCGTACAGATTTTTTTCTTTCCGCCGAATTGGGCATGAGAAATAGCCTCAAAAAAAAAGGTGTCTGGGACATAAGTCTTGAGTCTCTTGACCTTTAGGCATCGGCTGTTTTTTTCTTTTCTTTTCTTTTTCCATCCCACAACAAATCTTTAAAGGGGGCGCAGGTGACCATTGACCCAGCATGCGACCCCTTTTTTTTCTTTCTGAGTGAATATTTCCCCCGTACGCTGCTGTGCGCCGTGGCGTGCGGGTCCGCTCATGCGCCAAACGTGCGGAATTCTCCGCACGGCGTTTGCTTGCATGTATGGTTCAAAGTTAATCATCACATTACAAAATAGAGAAAGCTGCATAAGTTACACGGAACTTGCACCCTTTTTAACCCCTGGAGGGCCTTGAAGTCTTTTTTTTTTTTTTTTTTTTTTCTTATATATAAAGAAAAGAACCGTGCGGTTCTGGCTCCTTTTCCATTCTGGGGAGCGTCAGTCCGGTTCTGATTCCCCCGGCAAGTCAGAAAGCATTACAATGTGTACTCACTCACGCCCCTCCCCCTTATGGTTCGAAGGCCCAAAGGATGACATTGATTTTGCTTCCTGAAGGAAGGATGTACGATTCCCTCGCCCCTGCCTAAGTTACGTCTTCGTGTACATACACGTGTAGATGAAATAACTCCCATCTGTTCAGTAGTCAAAATATTTCCGGCAGCTGGTTGGTGGGAACGAGAAGTATGGGATATGTTTGGTGTGTATTTTTCCAACCATCCTGATTTACGTCGTATATTAACAGATTATGGTTTTGAGGAGTGTTCTACTTTTCTACTATCCTAGCTTACTACCTTCTTCACCCGAATACAACGTACGGTCATTATGATTGCTGTATTTAGACGGAAAGATACCCCAAATGCATACAGCTGTAATGACCGTACGTTGTATTGGGGTGAAGAAGGTAGTCTGGCTGCCCCGGTGGCCTTGGACCAGGAGGCTTAGTACTTATACCCCTGTCTCTTATACACATCTAGATGTGTATAAGAGACAGTATATATATATATCGTCAAATAGAACTGCCCGGTAAACCGTAGGCAGAGAGGGAGAAGAGGACAACAAACGAGGGGCTGTGATATATATATATTTGACCGCCATTACAGGTCGGCATGGGTTTCTCTGACTGCAATCACATCCAGAGCTCGGTTACGGCCTGGCATGGGTCTATCAGACCACAATTATTACGACCTGGCGTAGCTTTACCTGACTGTAATCACATCTGGAGCTGAGTTACGGCCTGGCATGGGTCTATCCTGTCTCTTATACACATCTAGATGTGTATAAGAGACAGACCTTAGGCAGAGAGGGAGAAGAGGACAACAAACGAGGGGCTGTGATATATATATATTTGACCGCCATTACAGGTCGGCATGGGTTTCTCTGACTGCAATCACATCCAGAGCTCGGTTACGGCCTGGCATGGGTCTATCAGACCACAATTATTACGACCTGGCGTAGCTTTACCTGACTGTAATCACATCTGGAGCTGAGTTACGGCCTGGCATGGGTCTATCTTGCCGCAATGACCACCTGGCGCGGGTTTATCCGATCGCAATTTCGGCCCGGCGTGGGTTTATCTGATCACAATTACAGCCTGGCGTGGGTTTATCTCAACTGAATATGTGTGTGAAGTTGTGAACCGCATTTATGGCCCGGCGGCGTGGGTTTATCTGTGACCACAAAAAATTATGGCCCAGCGTGGGTTTACCTGACCGCCATTATGGACCGGCATGAGTTGATCTGACTGCACTGATTATCACATCGAGAGCTCGGTTACCCCCCGACATGGGTCTATCGAAACACAAAATTATGGCCTGGCGTGGGTTTATCTGGCCACAATTCTGGTCCGACGTGCATGGGTTCTTACCTGTCAGTGACCGTAACAACGGCCTGGTGTGGGTTTATCTGTGACCGGAATTTTTTGTTTTTGAGCCAAAGCCGCGGATCATTTCATTAATAGATTGAAAACCGAGGCCGGGGACCTCACAATTAAACCTGGAGTTGTCTTCAGGCTGGCAGCATTAGTCAGTTTCGCTTATGATGTGACCAGAAAAAAACAGTTTCCCAAAGAATCAACACTTTTCAAGTAACTTAATGATCTAATAGCGCTGCCTACTGATCTGCCCGGGCCCTTCTTTCTCCTCTTCTAGAGGTATACAATAATTTGCTGGGAACCTTGCACAGTTTCGCTTTAACCACCTGTACATACCTACCGGTTGAGGCGGCCATTAACGCGGAAGCCGAATCGGCCTGCCCGTCGGGTCCAAATTCATTCGAGCCCGGCTGGGTACTACGAAAAATAACGCGGTAGGTACTAGGTACTTGTGGTTTAAATTGGACTCCGCGGATGGACCTCTCAGCTCTAAGGCTGTCTAATCAACTCTGACCCTACCATCTTCACCCGAATAGAACGCCCGGTAATTATTGCCGTATCTGGGCTGAAAGTTGTGCCCAATACAGCTGCTATAATGACCGGGCGTTCTATGCGGGTGAAGACGGTAGTCCTACTGCGTTGTCCTTCACTCCCTGCTGCTCCTGCTTCCCATTCTCTTGCTCTCCCCTAGTACTGGCTGTCCGCTCTTCCCTGGTGATTGCCACTGCTGCATCTCCCCGGAAACCCTAATCTTCGCACTTTTTGTTTTCTTACTGGCCCTTTCTTTACCTGACTGTGCTCTTAAACCACCAGTAGCTGCAGAAAAAAAAAAAAAAAGAGTAGAAACGTTTCTAGTCGGATGAATTTGGGCGCTCCTGTAGTGGCCCGTACGTTTCCTAGAATCGTATCGCGTTAACGGGCACCACTTTAGGAGGAAGTGCTGGTGGTTTTATCCCTCCACCCTATCCCTGTTCTGCTGTCCTGTTATGGCATTGCTGTAACCCTGCGATCGTCCAGATCTCAGTTGAAATCATCGTCGTGCGAGTATAATGCCCTGAATCACAAGAAGCGTACAATCCTCTCGCAGAGTCGCAAGCTCTTTTGTGTTTTTTTTTCATTTTTTAATTTTTTATTGCATTTGTTTCCCCAATTTGAAATAGACCTGCAGTGAACGGAGTCCAAAACAATCCATTCTCCGAGTCTCTGGCTCTTTGAAATTCTTCTCTTTCTTTTTTCCCCTGGAAATCTCTCGCTTTCTTCATTACCTCTTTAGTTGGGGTCGAGATGTCTCTCTTCATTTTTCCTTCCTTTCATTTAATATCCAAAAGCTTAGGGTGTCGTCTCTGTCGAGAGCATCATTGTTCTGAGTCTTCTGACCGAACCCAGCTGCAATTCAGAATATTGATATATTTGTATTGAACTTTATTCTGTTCATGTGGTCGCATCTGGGTGCGAAGTTCGGACTCAGGTCTGTATTCCAAAATTTCATGGATTGGTGCACATGTGAATGCAGCTAGAACTGTTTGTTGGTTGGTTGGTTGTATATCTCTATTTATAATCTGTGTGCAATTCACTTTTTTTTTTTTTTTTTTTTTTTTGGGTGCACTTGTGAATGCAGCTGGAGCTGAAGTTGGGCCTTGGAGGGACTTCGTATGCGGAGTTCATCCACTCCATGCACTTGCCTGACCAGCTGAGGTAAATGCATTCCTCTGAATCCTCTCTCTCTTTTTTTTTTTTTTTTTGCGGAAGGAGGTCCGTATGGTCCCGACTCCTTTGCCATTCTCCCCTACCCATCCTCCTCTTTTTTAATGATCGTGGCTGGACACTGCGATATCCCAGTGGGAGTAAGTTCACCCGCCACTGGACTATGGTGTGCGACATGGGAGGAGAGATCACAAAAAGCGTCCCATGTGATCCCGGTTTTACCCAAAATATAGACAAGAACGGAAGACGACAAAAAGCCACTGTTCAGTCAAGCTCTGCATTTAGACCCACTTCAGTCCAGATGCAGCACTATGATGTGTCCCAAGGGACCCATTGGCAAGTGCGAGCCTGGAAGATCCTTCTTGTAAGCGTGACTAGAATGCATTGGATACTAGTGACGTAGACTATGGTACAAGTATCGAGAAGATTGCTGAAGATAAAGCTCATCCGAGTCGGAAGGCATGAGAAGCAGCTCTTAGTGCCTCAAAAGTTCTTTCGATCATGTCCTCACAAAATTAATGTGGATATGGTGCAAGCTGCTATAAGACGAAGCACAATAAAAAAGAAGGGAGATGAAGAAAGGTAACGGAGAAGCAGAAGCAGAAGCAGAAGCAGAAGACAAGGAAGACGAAGACAAGGACAACGATGACGACAACAAAGAAGAAGAAGAAGAAGAAGAAGTCTTAGTGCGTGCAAAGTCCTTTGGATGTCCTCCTCAGGAATGTGGATTGCAAGCCACACTACAAGCAGAAGAAGGAGAAGGAGAAGAAGAAGAAGGATCAATGGAGAAGAAAAAAGAAGAAAAGAGAAGAAGAAGAAGAAGAAGAAAAGAGGAAGAAGAAGAGGAGGAAGAAGAGGAAGAAGAGGAAGAAGAAGAAGACAGCAGCAGGAGGACCAGCAGCAGCAGCAGAAGCAGACGCAGAGAAGAAGCAGAAGCAGACGAAGAAGACGAAGAAGAAGACGGCGAAGAAGAAGACGGCGAAGAAGAAGAAGAAGAAGAAGAAGAATAGAACAAGAAGAACAAGAAGAACAAGAAGAAGATGAGAAGAAGAAGAAGAAAACAGCAGCAGCAGAAGCAGCAGCAGCAGAAGAAGAAGAAGAAGCAGAGGCAGAGGAGAAGAAGAAGCAGACGAAGAAGAAGAAGAAGAAGAAGAAGAAGAAGAAGAAGAAGAAGAAGACAGGAGCAGCGGCAGCAGCAGGAGCAGAAGCAGAAGAAGAAGAAGTAGAAGCAGACGAAGAAGAAGAAGCAGACGAAGAAGAAGAAGCAGACGAAGAAGAAGAAGAAGAAGAAGAAGAAGAAGAAGAAGAATGAGGATGAAGAGGAAGAATCAAGCAGGAGCACCAGCAGAAGAAGAAGGAGAAGGAGCGTAATAATACTATTGAGAAGAAGAAGAAGAAAGAAGAAAGGAGCAAGCAGCAGCAGCAGCAGCAAAAGAAGAAGAAGAAGAAAAGGCGGAGGAGCACAAGGAGGAAAAGGAAGAAGATGAGATACTAGCAGATCATAGCAACCTCATGAGACTCAGGTTCACATGTGAACACATTGTACTCTATGTGTGTGCTATCTGCAGGAAGGTTTTTCTCTCTTTTTTCTTTCTTCCTTTCCTTTTCTTTTCTTTTTTTTTTGTGCGCGGCATCCTTGAGCAGCGCCCATGCCAATCTTCTGTCTATGATTTCCTATTTGGAATTTCAAGTCTTAACAACTTTCAATGTGTTAGCACTGTTGAATCTGTGTTGATGTGATTGATTGAGATTCCCTGTCCTGAAGGACGTCTCTGACATGCTGTTCTTTTTTCCATCGACTGTCCTTTTCTCTGTCTGCGCTGGTTGTCTTAAGGACTCTTACCATAGACACCAACAGAAAGCGAAAAGAAATTAAAGAATAGTAGAATACAATTTTTTTATTTTTTTTATTTTTATTATTATTATTATTATTATTATTTTGGTTAAAGAATACGATTTTAAGGCTACCTGGGGAACAAAAATTCTGGTTGAAGACTTCACTGGACTATGAAGGTGTGCAAATTCCTTTTAGGATGGATTGTATAATCCTATGAACCAGTTTTGCCAGAGTCTGCCTTTGTGTCCTCAATGGGAGATATTATATATAATATAATAAATATATATCATATTTGGGGGATAATTTGGCCCTTTTTTTTTTGCCTTTTTTTTTTGTCTTCGACAATTTGAAATGGTTAAAACTTAAAAGCGTGACTTGTAAGTATTCATTCTATATGAGTCCATAACCAAAAAAATTTGTCTGGTTTTGTCTTTTTGTCTGTTTTTGTTCGTTTTGTCTGGTTGTGTTTGTGTTGTCTGGTTTTGTTCGTTTTGTCTGGTTTTCACGAATCCTGTGGTGTGTGTGTGTCATGATTGTTGTGGAAGCAGCCAAGTGGACCCCATCGTCGCTTCTTTCTCGGGAGGTGCATTGGGAGTGATCAGCGCTTTGATGGTGGTTGAGGTAAACAACGTCAAAGTCCAAGAGAAGAAGAAATGCAAGTACTGCTCCGGAACAGGCAAGTTTGTCTTCCCCCCAGCCTGTTACATGCTTCAAAGTTTCCTGTTCGGGAATGGTCGCTTGCAAGACTAAGTATGCTTCTGAGTGAAAGAAATGAAATGAATTGAAAGTTGAAACAAATGATGTGGGGTCAGCAAGTCAGCGTGTTGACGGTGGTTGAGGTACTACTAGACTAAGTAAACAATGTCGATGCCCAAGTCTTTTAGAGATTCTGAAGAAGAAATGCAAGTACTGGTCCGGAATAGGAGGCAAGTTTGTCTTCCCTCCAGCCTGTTAAAGGCTTTAAAGTATAGCAGGCTGTATTTCAAGCAACTTAATCATGACCAGGGGTACTATTCGGCTGACCTTCAAGGCGGCAGGGTAGCATCATTTGCAATCGACACAGGTCGATGCTTCTTCGCTCTTCTCTGCGGTTATATGTTGGGAAGATCTGTTCCATTGCAAATGAAAGCCTTAGGAATGAATTGTTAAAGCCTACTATATGTTGGGTCGCCGCACGGGACACGAAACGAAAAACGAAACGAGTGCATCTTCCTGCAGAAAATGCCCAGGTTCATCGGTTTGCTATAAATAGTAAGGAGTGTATTTTGCCTCCTTTCGTGGGCAGATGCATGCGTTTCGTTTTCGTTTCGTGTGCCGTGCGGCGAGACCCTATGTCGGGTCAACCTTCAGTCAAGTAGGTACTCTGAGTCAGCGATAACAACCGCGGCGCATCCAATGATGGATATATTATTGGCCTGTTTGGTGACCCCAGGTGTTTTTTTTTTTTTTTTTTTTTTTTTTTTGGACCGTTTCTCGATTTATGCGTGTCATCCTTACTTGCGCAGGGGCCATGCTAATCTTCTCTCTCTCTCTGTATTAAAAGGGCCTTTACCGATATAGGCCTCAGGCCTTGTAAAAATAAAG